GGGGGCGGCGGCTGCAGCCGCGGCCGAGCGAGGCTTCCATCCTGTCCCCGGAGGAGTCGGACTTCGCCGCCCCGGGGGACTGCGCGGGCTTCGCGGCGCACCACGCAGTCTCCTACATCAACGTGGGCGTCCTCCACGCGTTCGACGAGGCGGGTGTGGAGGTGTGCTGCGGGGGGCACCCGTCGGTGGAGCTGCCGGGGTACGCGCCCTCGGATCCCGACCTCAACGCCTCCTACCCCTACTGCTGCCGGCCGCCCTGCGAGGCGGGGCGCCCGTGGGAGCCAAGCCGGGCCTGCTGAGTCCCCGGGCCCACCCCAGACGGACCGCGCTCGAGCCCGCGCGCGCCGCCCCGCCCGGCCACCGCAGCGAGGGACGCCCTGGGCTTTGCACCTTCAGGGGCGGACCGGCCTCGCGTCGCCGAGGGCTCCTCGCCGCGAGACCGGTCCTTCACTATTATCATTTCTGTGTCTGGGAGGTTTCTCTTCTTTTCTGTGTCTGTTCGTATCCGGATTCCATTTTAAAGTTTACAATAAATGTTTTGGGGTTGCCTCGCCCCCATCGCACTTCTCTTTGGCAAGTCCGGTCCAGGGTGAGAGAGTTCAGAGAGCGAGGGTGACTTCGCGGGAGGAACCCTCGCTGAGAGGACAGAAAGACAGAGCAGCTGGTACTTTAGGGTTGGCAGAAGCGGAAAAGCACCCAGCAGCAACACTTTGTACACGGATGTGCCTGCTTTTGTTGATACTTTCTTACTGTAAAGCTCTCCATAAACAGTGAAAATGTTTGGTAAATTTATTGCAATTTAAAATTGGTTAGTTCCTTTGTTAAATTAATTGCTATGTTATTGGAGATATTCATCAAATTGGAGTTAGGGGGTGTCGACACACGAATCAGTTTGGGGCAAATGGTTGAAGTTGGTCAAATGTTGAATTTGAACAGTTGTATTCTGCTAGGTGGTTGACTCCATCCAACCTCTTCCTAAAGCTAACTTTCAGACATTTCTTTTTTTGGAAACTGGCAGTGGGGTTTCTACTGCAAAGCTGAGCTTATTTTTGGTTAACATATATGAACAATCCAATCCTATTTTGGAAAATCACAGTCATAGTTTTTCTGGCAAAGATTATTTTCCTGTTAATTAATTCATTAATCTGGTAATTTTGCATATTATAGCATTTCATTTAAAAATACACCCCTTAAATAGCCTTAATTGATGTGAAGGTCATACTTTTATATCCTTAGGGTATACGTATGTGTGCATACTTACACACACGATATGAAATGCATTCTAGGTGACAGCAAAACGTGTTTCCATCCAGTCTGGTGGGCTGGCTGGGAGCCAGGCTGGCTCAGAGTCTTGGGGAAAAGGTAATTCAACTGTACGTGCTGGAATTGTGGCGCCAGACAGGAATGCCGATAATTCTTAAGGTGCTTGGAGCAGAGCCCCACCCTGGCCTGAAGAGTGTGTGTCTCCTGCGAAGGGAGGTGTGGACCCACCCAGTGCTCTGCCAGGGGGTGAGCACCACACAAAACACTCTAGGTGAGAAAAGCTAAATAAATCGTGTGTAATATCTTTATAGTGTATAGGGTTCACTTCTAATTGTGGGAATGTAGTCAGATTTAAGGGATGAAGGCGGAGTTTCCAAGTCCAGGCTCTGGGGTGAGACTTCTCCTCAGCTCACAGGTATCTTGCACAAAACCAGAGTTCCCTATACCTAGACAACCAAGGCCCCCATCCCAGCTGGGACCTGGCTGGGCTGCCCAGCTGCAGCGGAGGCTACTGGAGAGAGGAGGTCCCACATCCATGCAGAGGAGTGGAGGAGACCTGTCACCCGTAAGCACTTGATCCATGGAGGTGACAAGCCCATCACGCTGATGCTCGGGCAATTCCTGTGTAACATGGGGGTCTGATCAGAGGCAACAGGCCAGTGTTTCCTCCTTGTTATGTTGATGCCACCTGAGGAAAGAGGATGACTCACAGCCAATTTAGTAGGTTCTCATCCACAGTTCTATTCAGATATTGGCCCATATTCAGCCTCTGGATTCAGTCAGGTTGAGTGCAGGGCCCAGCTAGTCCCACTGCTGGTCCTCACAGCCTGGTCCCTCTCATGCCCCTGCATCACCAGCCCACTGACCATCAACCTTATGCAGAAAATACGATACTTGGCAGCAAAAGTGGGTTTTGAGATACTTTTTCCCATCTACCTAAGTCAGATCAAGAAGGAATTGCCAGGTGTTTCCTGCCTCCTGAGCAGGAATGCTCCCCACTCCTGGAGCAGAGGTCTCGTAGACAGCTGCCAGGCTGACCCCCCGGAGCTTACACAGCAGAGGTGGCTAGGCCAGTGTATCCTGGATGGGCGGGCACACGGTGGGAAGGCCTGGGCAGGGACCACCCCAACAGGGCAAACAGCATGGACACAAGATGTCAGACCTCCCAGTATCCTTCTTATTTTCTGAAGTGTTCCATCTTAAACTAATTTGTACACCTTAAAATGTTATCTGCCTTATGAATCTTCCAAATTTGCAATCAAAACCAGTGACCTCTCTAAAGTTTCAGACATTTCTTGGGATAGAACAGAAGGCAGAGGGGGGTGAGGTGGGTGAGGCCAGCGCAGGAGCCAGCCGGAACATCGCACCATCTGTGTGGTCATCTGGCCAGGGCAGCAGGGAGCATCTGGGGGTGCGTCGGCAGCTGCTTTTCCCCACAGAAGGCGAACTTCTATGTGACCGATAGACTAGATGAGATTTTTCAAGGTGCGAGTGTTTCTAACTCCACAAATATTGTTAACTCCACTTTATAGAGGCTGATATAATGATGTGGGATACCAGGGTTTTATTTTTTAGAGTTTATTAGAGGAAATAAAATCAAGTCTCCCTAAACTTACATTGTTCCAAAGATGTCAGGGACATGAGTGGGGAATTATGAAGCTACTGAGCTTCCTTTGAATTAGGACTGACTTCCTGGGGACCACTCCCACGCCTTGACGGGCACCTGCCTCGCGGCACTCACTTCTCATGCACGTCCATTCTACTTCCTGTAAGTTTTAGGTTTTGTTTTTTTTTTTAAGATTTTATTTATTTATTTGAGAGAGAGAGAATGAGAGACAGAGAGCATGAGAGGGAGGAGGGTCAGAGGAAGGAGGGTCAGAGGGAGGAGGGTCAGAGCCCGATGCGGGACTCAATCCCGGGACTCCAGGATCATGACCTGAGCCGAAGGCAGTCACTTAACCAACTGAGCCACCCAGGCGCCCAAGTTTGTTTGGTTTTTTT